CACCTTTAATCCCAGCACTTGGGAGGCAGAGGCAGGCATTATCTCTGTGAGTTCAAGGCCAGCCTGGTCTACATAGTTCCAGGACATCTGGGGCTACAGGGAGACCCTGTCTCAAAAAGACCAAAAAAAATTTTTTATTTATTATTTTTATTTTACGTATATGTGTGTTATGCCTGCATGTAAGTAAGTGCACCTGTGTTGTGCAATGCCTGAGGAGAACAAAAGAGGCTGTCGGATCCCCTGGAACTGGAGTTACAGACAGTTGTTAGCTGTTATGTGGGTGTTGGAAATTGAACCCGGGTCCTCTGCAAGAGTTTATTTTACGTATATGTGTGTTATGCCTGCATGTAAGTAAGTGCACCTGTGTTGTGCAATGCCTGAGGAGAACAAAAGAGGCTGTCGGATCCCCTGGAACTGGAGTTACAGACAGTTGTTAGCTGTTATGTGGGTGTTGGAAATTGAACCCGGGTCCTCTGCAAGAGTAGTCAGTGTTCTTAACCGCTGAGCCATCTCTCCAGCCCTCTTTTCAATTTTTTAAAATTTTGTTTATTTCATGTGTATTTTGCCTGCATGTATCTAAATGTTCCTTGTGTGGAAACCTGCAGAAGCCAGAAGGTAGAGTTACAGACAGTTGACATACTCCATTTGTGTGCTGGGAACCAAACCTTGGTCCTTTGGAAGAGCTGCTTAATTCCTTGAAGCATCTTTCCAGCACTGTATTCTGTGTTTTTTTTTTTAAGATTTATTTTTAGGGGGCTGGAGAGAGAGGGCTTAGCCGTTAAGAGCACTGTTGTTGTTGTGGAGGACCCAGGTTTGATTCAACTCCAGTTCCAGGGGATTCAACACCTCTTAGGACCTCAGCAGTGCATGGCACAGGTGCACTTAAATGCATGCATGTGTCTGTGTGGGTATGTGCATTTTAGTTCAAGTGATCGTAGAGGCCTGAGGCGTCGGATCCATCTGGAGCCAGTGTTAACCTCTGCTGAGATTAAAGGCATTCCCCACTACGTGCACCTCTCTTGTGCTTATTTTTGTTTTTTAAATTTATTTTATTTATTTATTTTTTGTCTTTTTGAGACAGGGTCTCTGTAGCTGCAGCTGTCCTGGAACTCACTATGTAGACCAGGCTGGCCTGGAACTCACAAAGATCCACCTGACTCTGCCTCCCAAGTGCTGGGATTAAAGGCGTGCACCACCACGCCTGGCTTTAAGTATTTTTGATGTGTATGAGTGTATTGCCTGCATGTGTGTAAGTGCACCATTGCCATGCAGTACCCATGGAGGTCAGAGGAGGGCATTGGATCCCCTGTAACTTGGAGCAACATACAGTGTTAGCTGCCATGTGGGTGCTGGGCTGTGAACTGGATTCTCTTCAAGAGCAGCCAGTGGTCTTAACCTCTCAGCCATCTGTCTAGCCCCTTGTTTTTGTTTTTAATTACATGCTTTCAATCTTTCGTACATGTATGTCCTTAGTATCAGTGCACTTTTAGAGTTAGCCATTACCTTATTTTGGAATATTTAGGTTCTTGATTATTTTTCAATTTTATGATTGGAGTCTGTTGTCAGCTCTTGCTGTTCTTTCTAGATTATATTCTCTCAATGTCATTAAATAAATGTCTTTTTAAAGGAAACACTTCAAGTTGAAGAAGATGATAGACCTGAGTTACCATGGTGGAAATGTAAGAAATGGGCCTTACATATTTTAGCAAGACTTTTTGAAAGGTAAACTTTCTCCATATAAAGTTATTTCTTGAAGTTTTTATTATTAAGTGTAGATGTAAAGCATTATAAAAAATAATAAAAATAATAAAAAATAAAATTAATAAAATATAATGTGCACATTAATGTTCATTTAGATATGGAAGCCCTGGGAATGTTTCCAAGGAGTATAATGAATTTGCTGAAGTCTTTCTGAAGGCCTTTGCTGTTGGTGTCCAGCAAGTAAGTCTAATATAGTCTGTCTTAGTAGAGGCTATGTGCATGTGTGTTTAACTGTATGTGCATGGAGGTGCCTATAGAAGCCAAGTGAGAGCATTTGATCACCTGGAGGTGATGGTGGTATTTTGCATCTCCAGATGTGGATGCTTGGAACCAGACTCCAATCCTGAAACAGCATTGAGTGTTCTTAACTACTGAGACATCAGACTAGTCTCCAACTTCTATCCTCCTTGCCGCCTTGTGCTGAAACTTCTAGGCTTGTACTAAATTACCTGCCTTTTTTTTGTTTGAGACAGGGTCTTCCTCTAGTCCCAGCTGGCCTAGAACTCACTATGTAGACCAGGCTGGCCTGGAACTCACAGAGATCCGCCAGCCTCTGCCCTTTCCAACCCTTAGTGCTGGGATTAAAGGCATATGCCACCACACCTGGCACCTGTCTTAATATTTCTCTTGTTTGTTACTACTTTCTTCTTTTTCATCTAAAGAGTATGCATTTGCACCTTGTAGCATTTCTCAAAACATTTCTGGTCTGAGGACTTTTTATGGGGACCTGGGAGTTGTTTTGCATTCTTTCAAAAATGATCTGTGGTGGCCGTATTTACAGTTTTAAAGAGTTACAAAGAAAGCACCATCAAATTGGATACCCAGAATATTCTGCAGAGGGCTGGCAGGATTGTTTAGTGTGTAAGTAAGTGTGCTTGCTGTGAAGCCTGATGACCTGAGTTCATCTTGGAACCAGTTGCCAAATGTTGTCTCCTCATCTCCCCATATGCTATGACATACTCTCCCCTCTACCCCACCCCAAACAAACAAAGAGTTAGTAAATAAATGTTTAAAATTTTTAAAGAATACCACTAGCAGGGCTTGGAGAAATAGCTCAGTAGTTAAAAGCACCTATTGCTCCTCAAGAGAACCTATGTTTGTTCCCAGCACCCACATGGCGCCTAATACCTACCAGTTCCAAAGGATCCAGGGTTGTCTTTTGGCCTCCATAGGCACCAGGCATGCACATGGTGTACTTATATGTATACAGGGAAAACATTTTAAAAAACAAATCCAGTAGAAACCGAATTAGGATGCCCCTTTAAAGCAGACACCTGGAGTTTACCAGTAGTCTTCAGATTTACTTTGGGAGGAGGTGTCTTTTTGATTACAGGGTCTCCTGTAGCCTCAGCTGGCCTTTGAACTTGCTATGTAGACCAGGCTGTCGTCAAACTCACAGATCCGCCTGCCTCTGCCTTTCAAGTGCTAGGATTAAAAACATATACCACCATGCCCCTTGTCAAGATCTTTTTGTGTGTGTGTGTGTGTTGCCATGTGGGGGTTTGTAGTTGCCTGCAGAGGACAGAAGAGGGTGTCATATTCCTTAAGCTGGAATTATAGGGGATTAAAGCTGCCTGACATTGATGCTGGAAGTACTCTTAACTGCTGGGCCGTCTCTCCAGCCCCACTGTAGACACTTTATATGGAACAAACAATAGTAATGTCTGCTGGAAATAGTTTCATCTTCTACCTGTTCTCAAGGGCTCTAGTTATTTTGAAGTTCTTTTCGTTCCCTACCACAGAGAGGCACCACCCCATCCTAAAGTCTTAGTAGACACTTTGAGACAAACATGCTTGGGTCTGAAATGGGAAGGGGGACAACCCTGTTTTCAGAGTCAGCTTCTCTGTGAGCTCAGGTACATTTTACCAATATGATGGACATTGCAGGAATGGGTCATAGGATCTCACATTGTAGCCAAAGCTGAATTCAATTTGTGGCAAGTCTCCTACTTCAGCACTCTGATTGTAGCAATTAAAAGCATGTCACGATACCCTAGGATTCCTGACTTCTTTTCTTTTTTGCGATAGCCAGGGATTGAACCCAGGGATCTCATGCATACTGGTCAAGTCTTCTGCCACTGAGCTATATCCCTCAGTGGTACAATTACTGAGGGCCCCAGTAGTTTTTTTGTTATTGTTTGAGGGTTTTGGCTTGTTCTGTGTGTTTTGTGACATTAGCGCTGGCTGATCAGGCCAAGAATGACCTTGAACGCCTTACTTCATTTCCCAAGTTTGGAATTACAGGTGTGCCATCACAAGCTACCCCAATTGGTTTTTGTTATACCTACTGATATTTACCGTATTTGGAATTGAAACAAAATTTAACAAAAATTGGGTGTGGTAGTATATGCCTTTAATCCCAGAACTTGGGAGGCAGAGGCAGGGAATGTGCGGCCACCCTGGTTCATATATTGAGAGTTCCAGTTCAGTTGGATTATATAGTAATGTCTCCAAAAAACAGAAAAGAAAAATGATTTTCACAAGCATGAATTTGGAAAAGATTAGAGTACTTTTAGGTTTTTTTTTTTAAGGCAAGTTCTCACTGTGTAGCTCTGCATTCTAGTACATCTCGCAGATGGATTTCTGTGAGTTCAAGGCCTGCTGGGTCTATAATAGTGAGTTCCAGGCCAGCCGGAGCTGCAGGGAGATACTGTCTCAAAAAGCCCAAAGGAAAAAAAGAAAGAAAGAAAGTCATACTTGTAAAATAGCAAAAAATATGATTGCAAAATCATAATTGCAAAATAAAATAGTCAATAGCCATTTGGCTTCATTAAATATAACTTTAGATATTAGGCAGCTGTCTGGCTAAGAATGTTTGATGGTAGAGCCAAAGTATCTAAAATTCCAGTTTTTGTTTACACGTTCAGATTTTTACACCAATAATAAGTTGAAGTGACAGTTTTTTTATTCAGTTTTAATTTTTCTTATGACATTTATTGTGCATTTATGCATATATATGTGCGCCATGGCTTGTGTGTGGAAATACAAAGAAAACTGTGTATTCAGTTCTCTCCTTTGGCCAATATGGGCCCCAGGGATCAAATTTAGATGGTCAGGCCAGGCTTTAATCCCAGCACTTGGGAGGCAGGCCAGGTTTATATAGGGAGTTCCAGACCACTTAAGGCTACAGGAGACCCTGTCTCAAAGAAAACAACATAAAAAGCAAAACTTAGCAGCAAGCCTTTAACTTTATCAAATGAGCTGTCTTACCAGCTTTCATTTTTATTTTATTCTTTTATGTATGTGAGCGTATTGCCTGCATGCATGTAGGTGCACCCTTGTCATACAGTGCCCACAGTGGTCAGAAGAGGGTGTCAGATCCCCTGGAACTGAAGTTTCAGACAGTTGTTAGCTGCCATGTGGGTGCTGGGAATCAAACCTAGGTTCTCTGCAAGAGAATTGAACTCAGTGCTCTTTAACTGCTGAGCCATCCCTACAGCCCCTTCTGTACAGGAGAAAAACTGTTTGGTCTCATCAGTTCTTTCAAAATAAAACAGCATTTCAAAGATTAGGTAACTTTCAGTTTGCAACTTTTCTTCCAACTGTTGTACTTTAGCATGTGGCTGCCAGGCTCTGGGTATGCTTCCCATTTAATAATTAAATTTAAGGACTTTTTCTTTTTGTGGGGTCTCATTATGTATCTCTGCCTGGCCAAAAACTGACAGAGATCTTCCTGTTTCTGCCTCCCAAGTGTTGAGATTAAAGCATGCACCACCAGGACTAGCTTCGTTAAGGGCTTTTTTTAAATGTGTATGAGTGTATTTCCTGCATGCATGTAACTGTACTCGTGTCATGCAGTACCCTCAGAGATCAGAAGAGGGCATTGGATCCACTGGAACTGTAGTTACAGATGGTTGTTAGCTGCCATTGGGTACTGGAAATCGAACTTCAAGAACAACTAGTGCTCTTAACTGCTGTGCCATTATCTCTCTAGCCTCTTAGGGCATTCTACTTTGGAGACAGGGTGTCTTTTTGAGACAGGGTCTCCCTGGAACTCACTACGTAGACCAGCCTGATCTTGAACTCACAGTCCGCCTGCCTCTGCCTCCCAAGTGTGCCAGGCAAATAACTATGAGCCAGGCTATCAAGCAGAGGCAGACAGTCGTCTATGAGTTGAGCCTGGTCTACATTGTGAATTCCAGCAGGGTTAAATACTGAGAGACCTTCTCAAAAGGAAAAAGAAAGAGAAAGAAGGAAAAAATATAGGAAAAGGCAAATAAAAAGGCATTTTTTCGTGATACTTCAGAGCGTCTGGAATGGTCTCAGACTTTGGAATTTAGTGCTCTAAAGTGTCACATAAAATTAGAAATATTGACTAAAGCTGAATAGGTAGGTGACTGAATAACTTGGGGTAAGTAAGGTTTTTTTTTAAAGAAAATCAAGCTTAGAACTAGCCCAGAATATTGTTAAATGTTCACATGTGGTAGGTAACCTGTTTTCTTAACCTGACTAGGCCTTTGATGTAGTCTTGTATTTATGATTTTATTGCATCTAGCAATTTATTGTGTGTTTATGTGAGTGCACTTATCATTACATGCATGTGGATGTCACAGGACAGCTTGCCAGAGTCCAAGGTGGGTTCCAGGAATGGAACTCAGGTTGTTAGGCTTAGTTAAGAGAAATATTAGTGTTTTAATTAGCATGTAAATGATTGAAATTTTGTTTTTAATTGAACTTTCTTTCTGAAAGGTTTTATTGAAGGTGCTGTATCAGTACAAGGAAAAGCAATATATGGCTCCTCGAGTTCTACAGCAGACATTAAATTATATTAATCAGGGAGTTTCACATGCCCTTACCTGGAAGAATCTGAAGCCTCATATACAAGTAATAATTTTCTATCTGAAATATTTTTCTACCACATGTAATAGAAATACATTAATTGCCATTAAGGTTGAAAATTTGTTGAATTCTGTTACTTAGTCTAGTTTTGGTGATTGTTTTGACAATGCAGCAGAAAAAAAAGATGGAACACTTTAACATACTCAACTACATTTCAGTCAAAAACTCAGTTTTCAAGCTAAGCTTATATTTAAGCTGTTACTATTTGATTATATTTAGTTAATATTTGAATCTTGCAATTTGGACTGAACAAGGGAGTTTATTATTTTATCAGATTTGTTTCTAGGGTAATTGACTTACGTAATTTTGGTATTTACTAGCTTATAGAATCTAGAAATCAATAGCCCCCCCTTTTTTTTTCCCTTTCCCACCCCTTTCTTTCCTTCCTCTTTTTAGGTATCAGGGATTGGGTATAGAGAGCTGTGCTACAAGTCAAGCATTGTACCACCAGCTATATTTGAACTATTAGCCTACATTTTTTATATTCAGTATTTCAGAACACATAACTGTTCTTATTATATAAATTGTATGGAAGATGCCTGGCTTGATTGTGCCAAGAGTGTATTAAATAATTACTGGTGTTTGGTATTAAACTCCAAATTATATATTTTAATTATTTTTGTTTTAATACTTAAAGGAGACTTGACAGTTTAAGTTTGAAAGCTGAAGACTGTTACTTTCTTAACTTTTAAATTGCAGGGCATTATCCAAGATGTTATTTTTCCGTTGATGTGCTATACAGATGCTGATGAGGAACTTTGGCAAGAAGACCCTTATGAATATATACGCATGAAGTTTGGTAAGAAATTTTCAGTTGCTGGCTGGGTATGGTGGTCCATGCCTAAAATCCCAAAACTTGGAAGTGAAAGGATATCTTGGCCTGCAATGAGACCCTATCTCAAAAAGCAGAGCCTGAAAGATGGCTCAGAAGGTAAAGGTGCTTGCTGCCAAGCCTGATAACCTGACTTCCATTCCCAGAACACATAGTGGACTGAGAGAAACAACTGCAGGTTATCCTCTGATGTCCATACAAGTGCTGTGGCCTGTATCTTGCACTCTGACACACAAACACACACTGAATATAATTTTTTCAAAAAATGTTTGTTTTTTTTCAGCAAACAAAGAGCTGGGTGTGGTAGAGCTTGCCTTTTAATTCTAGTCAGGCAGACAGATGGATCCCTGAGATTGAGGCCAGCCTGGTCTACATAGTGAGTTTGAGGCCAACAGGGAGGCTCAATCTTAAAAAACATAGAGTATGGGGTGGAGAAATGGTTCAGGTAGTTAAAAGAACACTGATTGTTCTTGCAGAATACCCGGGTTCAAATCCCAGTACCTACATGGTAACTAACAACTGTCTGTAACTCCAGTCCCAGGGGATCCGACAGCCTCTTTTGACCTTTGCAGCCATTGCATGACATGGGTACACTTACCTACATGCAGGCAATACGTGCATTCACATTAAAAAATAATAACATAGAATAATAAGCCAGGCATGGTGGTGTAGCATTCAGGAGGCAGAGGCAGCTGGATCCCTGTGATTTCAAGGCTAACCTGGTCCACATACAGTGAGTTCAAGTCCAGCTAGAGCTATAGGGAGGCCCTGTCTCAAAAAGACCAAAAAAAATAAACAAAAAAAATTAAAGGACAATGAAATTTTCACTTATAGAAGCAAAATATTTTGATTGTTTGCAGCTGACTTGAGATCTGATACTGAAAAAAAAGTCTTGTTATTTTTTGCAGTTTATCTCTTAAAGACTTTTATGCCTATTCATTTATTAGAACAGTTTAGTAGTGTAGGCTTATTTTCATTAGACACATACAGTAATATTGTTATAAGTGGATACTTTTCTGGCATAATGTCAAACTATCTGATAGTTAAATTTACACCTTAACATTGTGTCTAACCTTAACCATGTGATGGAACTGAAAGATGTATACTGGAAGTTAGAGTCATACAAACTCTCCATGGGATTTAAGCATTGTCATTTATTTGGCTAGTGTTGTGTATTAGACCTTCTTCCTACCCAGATCTTTTGTACTTCTATTTTTGTGACCATACTGTGGAATTCTCACAAGTGCAGTGTTTTGAATAAAGGGATATTAGAAGTTGGTGAATGAACATTTAATTTGTACAGAGAGACATGGAATATGGTTGTAGTAATGCATGCTGTTGTTCAGATACTTAGAAGGTTGAAGTGAGAATATCACTTTAAGTTAAGGGTTTGACAGCAGCGTAGGAACATAGTAAGATCCCATATCAAGCAAAGCATGTGGGTACTGCCAGATTTTTCTTTGAAAGGCCTTGCTAAGCAGCTGAGACTGGTCTTCAACTCATGATTTTCACACCTTAGCATGCTGAGAATGTAGGTTGTTTGCATGGATTCATTTTTATAGTCATTTTTTAAATGCTTTGCTTTCATAGTTTCATTTTCCAGTCATGGAGGTCAGATGTAGGGCCTTTTGTATCCTATGCTCTACCATGCAGCTGCACCCTGATCCCATTAAGCTAACCTTGAACTCATCGTTCTGCTTCAATCACACCAGTTCTGAAAGTACAGATTCCACCCTGTCTGACTGTTTTGTTTTTTACAAACACAATTTGTAGATTAGGTAATATAACAAAATGTTTTTCAAAGAAAATTACTAAGCCAGGCCTGGTATTCCATGCCTGTAAACTCTAGCTTTTGGGAGGTAGAGCAGGATCAGGATCCTATCTCAGCAACATAAAACTATTATTTTTCTCTTTGGTTTTCATTCAAAATTTGTTCTCTAGATGTGTTTGAAGATTTCATTTCTCCTACCACTGCTGCCCAGACGCTTTTGTTTACAGCCTGTAGTAAGAGGAAAGAGGTAAGCTATCATGGAGATAATATTTGCTGTATTATTTTAAATGTGTTCAAATATACTCCATTTTCAGAGTTTAGTCTCATGTCATTTTGTGTTTTTCAAGACCTATTGGGTTCTTTATTATAGAGTTTTGCTTGTCTCTTAATCTAGGTACTACAGAAGACTATGGGATTTTGTTACCAGATTCTTACTGAACCAAATGCTGATCCTCGTAAAAAGGACGGAGCCTTGCATATGATTGGCTCTTTAGCTGAAATCCTCCTGAAGGTATTTCTTTTTGAGCATATGCATGTGTGTGTGTGTGTGATTTAAATTGATAGCTTTTTTGAGTCACAACATGCATTCCATGCAACTTGTCCATTTGAAGTATAACTAGGACAGATGAGATGGCTTGGTTGTCAAGCACTTGTTGCAACAGCTGATGAACCTGAGTTCTATCTCCAGGTCCTACAAAGTGGACTCCTGCAAGTTCATACGCACACACATAGGCACAGAGAAAATAACTACATGGTTATTAATATATTCACAGTAGTACAACCATCTTAATTCAAGCCACCACACCTGGCTGCTTCTTTACTTTTTTTTTTTGGTCTTTTTGACAGGATCTCCCTATAGCCCCAGCTGGCCTGAAACTTGCTGTGTAGACCAGGCTGGCCTTGAACTCACAGAGATCCGGCTGCCTCTGCGTCCTTAGTGCTGCACCATCATGCCTGGCCCAACCAGGCCCAGCTAATTCAAGACTTTTTCTTTTGGTCTTTTTGAGACAGGGTCTCCCTGTAGCCCCAGCTGTCCTGGAACTCACTATGTAGACCAGGCTGGCCTTGGACTCACAGAGACCTTCCTGCCTCTGCCTTCCAAGTGCTGGGATTAAAGGTGTTCACTACCATGCTTGGCTCAAGACATTTTTATCACCACAGTAAGAACCCAGTATACATTAGTAGTGAAGCCCCATTTCATCTAAACCTTCCAGCCCTAAAGTACTCTCATTCTACATTTGTCTATGAATTTATTCTGGACCTTTTACACAAATATTAATATTGCATTTTATCTATCCCTCAGTTGATGAACACTTGTTTTGTTTTTAATTTTTATGATTTTATATATTTGTATTTTTTCCCTTATTAAATATAATTTTAATAGAGCAATGGCTCCTTTTCTGTACAAGTGTTTTGCCTGCATGTATGTAAGCATGTCACATGTGTGCCTGGTGGCCACAGCCAGAAGAAGGTGTCCATTTCCCTGGAACTAGAGTTAAGGGGGTGGTGTTAGCTACCATCAATACTTGTTCCTTTTTGTTCTGTTTATTTATCTTTAAATTTTATGCGTATAAGTGTTCTGTCTGCCTGTATATGAGGGCCACATGCTTGCCTGGTATCCTTGGGGACCAGAAGAGGACATCAGATCCCTTAGAACTGAAATTAAGGAGTGTTAGCTACAATGAGTGCTCATAACCTCAAACTGGGGTCCTTTGGGATAGCTGTAAATGTCCTTAAACCTGTATATTAAATCTGGCCTTGAGCTTGTGATTCCCTCCTACTTTGGCTTCTCTGGATTCCATTTGTATACCACTTTGTCACTTTATTGTAGCCATCCCTACATCATTTTGGTTTTTGTTGAGACAGAGTCCCACACTTAACCAAGGTTAATGGTGATCCTCCTGTTCAGTCCTTCCAGGTGCTGCAGGGATTAGAGGTATGAGCTGCCACACTAGCCTATGAAGTGTCTCTCTGACTAGAGCTATCTTACTTAAATGTTAGGTGGCATCTCTAACAGGGTCTCTCCCTGGAACCACAGCTGGCCTAGAACTCAGTATATAAATTAGTCTGTCTTTAATCTCACAGAGATCCATTTGCCTCTGCCTCCTGAGTCCTGCAATCCATGGCATGCACCACCACACCTGGCTTCACTTTGAGACAGGATCTCATTGGACTCTGGAGGCCAGCTGGCTGATTTGGTTAGTCTGCAGTACTGTAATTACAAGCACATCCACCTCTCTCTCCCTTTCTTTTTACAAGGGTGCTGGGAATTGCTTTCATGGAAGGCATTTTACCAACTTAGCTATCTCCCAGGCCCTTATGTTTCCATTTTAAGACAGGGTCTCATCTATCCTGGCTGTCCTGGAACTCGATATTTAGACAAAGCTGGCCTCTAACTCAGAAAGATCTGCCTGCTTCTGCGTCCTGAGTACTGAGATTAAAGCTGTGTGCCATCATGCCCAGCAAGTAGATTTAATTTTAATTTAATTTAATTTAATTAATTTATTTTTGGACTTTTGAGACAGGGTCTCCCTGTCGCCCCAGATGACCTGGAACTTTGCTATATAACCAGGCTGGCCTTGAACTCACGGAGATCTGCCTGCCCCTGCCTCTGAAGTGGTGTGCCACCATGCCTGGCCTTTTTTCAATTATTTTATTATTATTTTTTGCATGTGTTTGAGTGTATTCCCTGCATGTATGTCATGTGGTGCCTATGGAGGCCAGAAAAGAGGGTATCATATCCTCTGGAACTGGAGTTACAGATGGTTTTTAGCTACCATATGGGCGCTGGGACCTGAACATGGATCTTCTGTAAGAGCAGCCAGTGCTCTTAACCCTTGAGTCATGTTTTTAAAAAACTAATTTTCAGCCGGGTGTGGTGGCGCACGCCTTTAATCCCAGCACTTGGGAGGCAGAGGCAGGCAGATCTTTGAGTTCCGAGGTCAGCCTGGTCTACATAGCCAGTTCCAGGACAGCTGGAGACCCTGTCTCAAAAAGACAATAACAACAACAAAAATTAATTTTCATTTGAAAAAAAATGTTTATGTGTATGAGTTTCGCCTGCATGTATATAAATGTACCAGTGCCATCAGAGGCCAGAAGAGGGTATTAAATCTCCTGTAACTGGAGTTAACGATCCTTAACTGCCATGCTAGAAATCAAGCCCAGGTCCTCTGCAAAGAGCAGTCAGTGCTCTTAACCATGGAGCTAACTCTCAGCTCAAGAAAAAATTTTGTAGAACTAACCAGAATTCCTACTAGTTAAACATTGTTTCTATTGAAACTTGGTGTGACTTTCTAATTAGGTAATATAAAAGCAGGTGGAAATGTGTTAAGATAATATACATTGGTAATTGCAGCAGCCTAGATAATGAGGAAGGAAGATCATTAGTGCCAGCATTCTCTACATAGTCCATGTGTTAAAAAAGTAGTATAAGAATGGATGGTTTAAAACTTGAGATTCAGGCCGGGTATGGTGGTGCAACGCCTGTAGTCCCAGCACTTGGGAGGCAGGTGGATTTCTGTGAGTTCAAGGCCAGCCTGGTCTACGTAGTGAGTTCCAGGACAGCTGGGGCTACAGGGAGACCCTGCTTCAAAAAGACCAAAAATGAATAAATAAATAAATAAATCTTTAATTTTTGTAAGTTGATTATTTCAGATGTTTTGTTATAACAGTGGGATCTAGTTACAATGTAGGAGACCAAAAACTTGAGATTCAAAGCAGGAGAATAAATATATGAAAGAGAGAGGCAGTGGCAGGTAGATCTCTGTGAGTTGGTCATTAGCCTGGTCTGCATAGAGAGTTCCAGCCCAGCCAGGGGGAATCCCATCTTAAGAAAACAAAAAGCAAACCAAAAAAGGTATATTTCGTTAGTAATTGTTAACATTGAGGTATGTACTTGTAACTTGACACCATTATATTTAGAATTCTATCTCAATAATTTGTTCATATTTGCAGAAAAAGATCTACAAAGATCAAATGGAATACATGCTGCAAAATCATGTATTTCCTCTCTTCAGCAGTGAACTAGGCTACATGAGAGCAAGAGTAAGTTTTCAAGTTGTATTATTTTATGTATTTATACCTTGTAATGAATGACTTTGGAACCTGAAACTTACCCTTGAGAACCATATTTCCTTTAAGACGTCTTTTTAATGTAAGTCTTTAACTGGCTGCTCAAGTGTGTGCATAGTTGTCATCTGTGTCTGGTAGCAGTGTCTGTCTGTGTTTTGCATTCAGATCTTGCTATCCACACAAACATCATGCAGCCAAAGAAAAACTTGGGATCATAGTACTGGTCTAGTGTTGTGTGTTTGGGCACGTTTCCCACTGACCAGCCTCCAAATTCCCAAACATGAACTCTAGGAAGAGGTTAGTTTGGAGAATTTAATGTAAGATGTCTGTAGTTACTCACTTTTTATTTTAAAGGCTTGCTGGGTACTTCATTATTTTTGTGAAGTGAAGTTCAAAAGTGATCAGAACCTCCAAACAGCTTTGGAGCTGACAAGAAGATGTCTGATTGATGATAGAGAAATGCCTGTGAAAGTAGAAGCTGCCATTGCACTTCAGGTCTTAATCAGCAATCAAGAAAAAGGTAAATGGTTTGTATGTTACAGCTATGTTTACATATAATTAAACACCGTAATCCTAGAAACTAGGTTAAATATATTCTATGTGAAATACTTTTAGTTATCATTTGTGTGTCTTTTTTTAAATGTTTTATTATTTTATATGTTTGAGTGTATTGCCTATGTGTATCTAAGTGCACCTCTATCGTGCAAAGCCTTCAGAGGCCACAAGAGGGAGTTGTTGTCCCCTGGAACCAGTGTTGCAGATAGTTGTGGATGCTGGGAATTGAACCCTGGTCCTCTGGATAAACAAGTGTTCTTAACCACTGAGCCATCTCTCCAGCCCCTCATTTGTGTATCTTATATCCAGTTTATTTACCTGTTTTGTTTCTTTGTTTGTTTGTTTCTCTCTACTACAGCTAAAGAATACATCACTCCATTTATCAGACCTGTAATGCAGGCTCTTCTTCATATTATAAGAGAAACAGAAAATGATGATCTTACCAATGTTATTCAAAAAATGATCTGTGAATATAGTGAAGAAGTTACTCCTATTGCTGTGGAAATGACTCAGCATTTGGTATGTTATTCAAACCTGTCATTGCAGAAATATTTGCATAGTTTGTCACAAGTGGCTTGCTTTCTATATAAAGCAAATATTCCATGGAACATACTATATAGCATGTAGTATTCTAAACTCCCTGACAGATGTTTAATGCATTTATTTCTCACATTGTTCTAGTTGAAAATTATACTTTTTTTTTTTGGTCTTTTTGAGACAACGTCTTCCTGTAGCCACAGATGGCCTGGATTCGCTATGAAGACCAGGCTGGCCTTAAACTCACAGAGATCTGCATGCCTCTGCCTCCTGAGTGCTGGGACTAAAGTGTGCACCACCATGCCCAGCGAAAATTATGCTATTTTATAGAGAGACAGTATGAATTATAAAACATTGAATAGCACCTTGGTGGGGTGGTACATGCCTTAATCCCAGCATTTGGTAGGCAGAGGCAGATGGATCTCTGTGAGTTCAAGGCCAGCCTGGTCTACATAGTGAGTTCCAGGTCAGTTGGGTGTACAGGGAGACCCTGTCTTAAAAAGACAAAAAAAAGCCAGGCGTGGTGGCGCACCCCTTTAATCCCAGTACTGGGGAGGCAGAGGCAGGTGGATCTATGTGAGTTCAAGGCCAGCCTGGTCTACATAGTGAGTTCCAGGACAGCTGGGGCTACAGAGAGACACTGCCTCAAAAAGACCACAAAAAACGAAAACAAAACAAAAAAAATTGAATAGCTTGCCAGACCTGTGCTCAGTGGGCTGGGACTCATTCTTGTGCTGCCTCATTGCACGTTTTGTGGGTTAGGTAACAGCATCTATGTAGTGTCCTGCAATACTCAGAGCAAGCTATATAGTTTTAGAAATGGTAAAACAACAACTGTTGTTTTCAGTACACCTGTGTTCAGGCATGATTTAGCTGGTCTTTTAGGAGAGGCTCTTGGTATGCTGCCATTACTGGTCCTTGAAATCTTGAGGTCATTCAATCTTCCTACCTCAGCTTCTTCATTAGCTGGCACTAAAGATGCCCATCCCAGCTTTAGCCAGTCATAATAATGAAAGTTTTCATAATATTAAGCACATTCTATACCATACCTGTTTAATACCCACAGTTGTCGGTATCAAATGACCAAGCGATATGTCAAAAGAATGGTGAAGACTTTCGGGCATATCTTCAATCCCAGCATTTTGGAGGCAGAGGCAGGCCTCTGAGATGGAGGCCAGCATGAACTAAATAACAAATTCCTGGCCAGCTGGGGCTTCAAGAAGACACTGTCTCAAACACACATGAAAGATAGATCAAGGAGTTTGCGTAATCTGGTTCAACTTTAAATTTTTTAAAATACTGAGTGGCATAGCAGAACCATTTGACTAACACAGCTCATGCTCTTACTAGTCAATTTAGAGACTGGTTTTTTGTGCTTTCTCAAGGAGAACATTTTATCAGAAAAGTTCTAGACCATTCCAAGCCTAAAGTTGAGAACTTGTAATCTCACGGCTAGGTAGGTTGAAGCATGGTGATTCTAAGTTTGAGCACACACACACACACACACAACGTTTATAATACTTCAGTGAGTTCCATTCTCTTGATTCTAGGCAATGACATTTAACCAAGTAATTCAGACTGGACCAGATGAAGAAGGAAGTGATGACAAGGCAGTTACTGCTATGGGAATTCTGAATACAATTGATACACTTCTGAGTGTAGTTGAAGACCATAAAGAGGTAAAATGATTCATGTTGCAGAGATGTTAGTGAACATCATCTTACAATGGTCTATGATTTTTTTAGCTTCAATCATTTCACCTGCTTTTATTTAGTCACTTTTGATTATTATTTGCAAAGGTAAGATTGACATCTTAGAAATGTTTTAAGTTTTAGCTTTTGAGAGGAAGGAATAGAAACCAGTGGCTCATTGCTTTACCATCTCTTTACTTTGGAGCTCAAGATTTGGACTCTGAATTTTTCTCTGATCCAGAGTATGGCAATTTCCTGGAAAACATATGGCTAATTTTCACTTGAAAGTTATTTTTGGGCCTGCAAGATGGCTCAGCGGGTAAAGGCATTTGTCTCCACATGTGATGACCTGATTTTAATTCTTGGATATATCACATGAACACACACACATCCCTACATACAGTCCTGCTTTCAATTTTTTTTGGTAAAATACACAAAATTACCATTTTAAATTTATTCAGTTCGCTGGTATCTAAAAGAAGTTATTTTGAAATCATTATCACTAACTTTTTTTTCTTGTTGCTTTGAAGTGTAAAGGAAAAAATTTAAACTAATTGATTTAAAACAAAAACCTGAGAATAGACTGGATATACCTAAATGTAGTGCATTTTAACATTTTTATATTATTTCCTTAAATTGTTTCTAGGAAGAGCAATTTCAGATTTATGTATTGTTTCTGGGGCTTTAGCATGTGCTGAATGACTTGAGTGTGCTCCATTGAGCTATGCTCTTAACCACAATCTTTTCAGATAGACATAGTTGAATCCCTTAGAGATTGTTGACTGTATAATATGTGTATTTTGTCTTTTTTAATGATGTGTATGATTGTACTGCCTGCATGTTATATAAGTGCACCCGTGTCGTGCAATGCCTACAGAGGTCAGAAAATGGTTCAGATCCCCTGGAACTGGAATTATGAACAGTTGTTTGCCGCCATGTGGGTACTGGGAATGGAACCCAGGTCATTGCTCTTAATGGTGAGCCATCACTCCAGCCCTTGTTTGTCTTTTGTGACAGTATTTCCCTATAGCCCCAGCTGGTCTGGAACTCACTATGGAGATCAGTCTGACCTCAATTTCTGTGCCTCTGTGGGGATTAGACGTGGGACACCAAGCTAGGTTATTTGTTGGTTTGGGGGTTTGTTTAGTTTTTGTTGTTTTTGACTTTTTGGTAAGGCTTATGTGTACCCTAGTTTGGCCTTTGAAATTATCGTGTAGTCTAAGCTAGTCTTACATTCATGGAGTGTTCTTACCTTAGCCTTAAGAGAACCTCCATGCCTGGCTGGGCTACTTCCCATATAAGTAATCACTCTAAGGTATTTCATATCAATAATTTCACTACAAATCTTCAAAATGGTAGTATATCTCATCTATATGACATACAGTTCCATATGTTTGCAATCTGTCCTTTGCAGTATAAACCTTTCAGGAAACTATTTTTGCAAAATAATCCTCAAGAAATCCTGTCCCAATTTTTTTGTTTCACAGATTTGCTTTGAGAAGTTGAAAAATGTATTAAATGCTATTTGATTGAAATCATCATGAAATACCTAATTAGTAATCTTAACCTCTAAAATTTTTTATTTTATGTGTATGAGTGTTTTGCCTGCATGTATATAAGGCCACCTGTGTCGTACAGTAACCCGTGGAAGCCATAAGGTAGCATTGAATTCTCTTGGAATTGGAGTTACGGACCTTTTTTTTTGTTGCTATTTGGGTGATGGGATTTAAACCCAGGCCCTCTGCAACTTGCAGCCATGCTCTTAACTGCTGAGCCCCCTACCTCCTTTCATTAACATTCAAATAGTCTTCATAGATTTGGGGCCCAGTTGAAGACCTTATGACATTTTAATTGGAATTGGTATTCTCCATTGATCTTGATGGATTTGAGAGCTTATTTCACATTCCATGGTTTACTAAGTGAAAACAATTTGAAAAATGGAAGTTATCGTAGAGTTACTTGGATTTGTAGGAACACTGCCTTTCCTTCAGATAATTTCAGTGTAAATAACCCACAATGAAGAATACTGGGATTAAAGGCATGTGCCACCACACCTGGCCGACAATGACTTACTTAGTTTTATCTGGGCTGAATTTATCTGTATGTTATACCAAAATAACCTATATACTTTCATTAAAATAGCTGTGATTCTGATACTTCCATAAATATTTGTATTTCCTCAATATGTTATTTTTGTAAATAAGTACATTATTCTTTGTTTTTCTCATTATAAATGCTGTTTCCTTTAAATTTCAGTGGTTAATCTTACTCATAATCAGAACAGACTTAAAATGATTTCCTAACAGTTTTCATTTTATATTTAGAAATGTAGTATACTACTATTCCTTTCATTTTTTTTCTTTTAGATAACCCAGCAGCTCGAGGGTATCTGCTTACAGGTCATTGGGACTGTTTTACAACAGCATGTCTTAGGTATTACACCTCTAATTTTACTGTTTTCTATTATTTCATGTGAGTATTTTGCTAATGACTTCATATTCTCTTCTAGAATTCTATGAAGAGATCTTCTCTTTGGCACATAGTTTGACATGTCAGCAAGTGTCTCCTCAGATGTGGCAGTTACTGCCTCTTGTTTTTGAGGTTTTTCAGCAAGATGGCTTTGATTACTTTACAGGTAAAGCCAAAATAGCATGAAAATATTGACTGTTCCCTTATCACCACTGTGATTTCTGTGCAGCTTAATCCTTTGACTTTGCACTCTTGATGTTTTAACCACTTCGTTTGGATAAGAGATAGGTAGCAATTAATGTATAAAGATGGCATAGGTGCTGATAGTATATCTTGCTTTTTTCACACCCCCCATAACTCTATAAGTATATGTATATGTATTATCTTTGACTATCAAATATAAAGGAATTCATTTTATTTATTTATTTAGTCCTTTTGAGACAGGGTCTTTCTGTAGTCCCAGCAGCTGGCCTTGAACTCACAGAGATCCACCTGCCTCCTCTGGGATTAAAGGCGTGCACCACCATGCCCGGCCCAGGAATTCTCATTAAAATAAAAGAGACAGAATGGTTCCATACTGGCCTTATTGTGAGCAAACATTTTTAGGAAAAAGATGAAATATTTGTATTGTAAAGATGATTGAGGCAGGTGTGGTGCTTCCTACCTGAAATAACATTACTTGGGATATAAGGTAGCTAGATCAGGGATTCAAAATCATCCTTGTCTACATAGCCAGTATGAGGCTAGCCTAAGCTACAGTGAGACCCTGCCTGAAAACAAAACAAAAGGTGTGTAATTGATTTTTTTTTTTTTTTAACTGCAGACATGATGCCTCTTTTGCATAACTATGTAACAGTTGATACAGACACACTTCTATCTGATACCAAGTATCTTGAGATGATATACAGTATGTGTAAAAAGGTAGGTCTTTTGTAGATACTAACAGATTTCAAAAGATTGCTGGTATAAAATTATGAAGAAACGTGTGAACATGACATACACTGGACAGAGAGAATTAAGGGCTTTAGAAGTTAGAAACAAGAGGACTGGGAAGATGCCTTAGTGGTAAAAAAACACTTGCTGTTCTTCAGAGGACCCAGGTTCAGTTTCCAGCATCGGTGTAGAGGCTAACAGTGATCTGTAACTGCATTTCCAGGGAATCTGACACTGTCTTCTGGCATCTGTGGACATTGCACCACACAGGTGCCTGTATGTACATGTAGGCAAAATCCTAGTAACATAAAATGAAAATAAGTACACTTTTTTTTTCAAAAAAAAAAAAAAGCCACAAAATTTTTGCAAGCCAGAAATGATAACTCACACCTATAATCCCAGTACTTGAGGAATTGAAGCAGGAGAGGGTTATCCTAAGGTTTGTAGCAGGTTTGAAACCCTGTCCCAAATAAATAAAACAGAAAAAGGAAAAATCAGTCTGTCTTTGAGTATATATAGTTCAACAATAGAGCATTGCCTGTCATGTGGAAGGTTCTGGGTCAATAAATAGCCATGTACCTGGAATTACATGTTTCATTTTTTGAGTTTCAGGAGTTAATTTTAGCTTAGTTCTTTTTGTTTTGTTATTTTTGAGACCAGGTCTCCCTGTAGCTCCAACTGGCCTAGAACTCACTATGTAGACCAGCCTGGGCTTGAACTCTCAGAGATCACCTGTCTCTGGCTCCTGAATTACAGGCGTGCATCACCACACCCAGTCTTAGCTTAGTTCTTTGAAATAAAATTAGAGATGTCAGGCTATTATAGTAATGAAATTGCAAGGCTATATATCTGAGAATTTGGCTTGGTCTCTTTTTCTTTGGAAGGGGGGCTTTTTGAGACAGGGTCTCCCTGTAGCCCCAGGTGGCCTGAACTCAAAGAGATCCACCTGCTTCTGCATGCACCACCACACCTACCGTAGACACTATTTTTAGAAAAAAATAAAAACTACAATTTAGTATTTTGATTTTGTGTGTGTGTGTGTGTGTGTGTTTAAAGTTGATTTCACTATAAAAGCAAGGTGTTCTGAAGCCTGCCATACTCTAGCCTCAGCCTATAAAAGATTTGGATTATGGGCACATTTGAGGGTTTTTATTTTTGCAGTTCTTTACTGAAGAACCAGATCTCCCTAGGAAGGATAGGAGTTTAACTTCCACCTGTGTAAGAATTTGATGGATAATATGCTAGAGTCAAGATGGGTGCTTCAGTTTTAGAGACTGTGCTGCTAGACTAGAAGGGTAGACCATGACAAAATAACTTCCAGCCTTTTTGCAGTGAACATAGCAATTATTCATACAGATTAGATATTTTAACTAATATGGGGAGTCTATCCATAGGGAAGGGATATTATTTTTCTGATTTAAAGGTTTTACAAATCCAGCTGGGTGTGGTGGCGCACACCTTTAATCCTAGCACTCAGGAGGCAGAGGCAGGTGGATCTCTGAGTTGAAGGCCAGCTAGGGCTACAGGGAGACCCTGTCTCAAAAAAGACCCCCCCCCAAAAAAAAAGGTGTTTTTTTTACTAAAATCCTTGGAAATTTGTATTCTCTGTTGATCAGGTTCTTACTGGAGTTGCAGGAGAAGATGCAGAATGTCATGCAGCAAAATTGTTAGAGGTCATCATTCTACAGTGCAAAGGGCGTGGCATCGATCAGGTCAGTGAGGCTGTGTCTGAGGCTTCAGAGTGTCTTATATACTTTTTAATTTTCTTTTAGGGCCATGTATATTCTATACATTGTGTTATATCCTTGATAGAAAACATTTTTAAGTGTTGGCTTATTAACATAATGATAATTTTAATATCTTGTCATTTAGCTGTAGTTGAAGAGTTTTGATAGGTTTAGTAACTTGATTTCCATCATGAGTTGGAATGTGAACACTTTGAATCCATGATTGGTAAGGTAGTTAGGCTCTCACAGCCCAGTGAAGACTTGCTTTTCTTTAAAGTTAGATTTCTCATTAAAGTGACCAACAGTAAATTCTGGTCATCTAAAGGGACAGGTTTAGTTGAGGCAGTGAATGAGTTAATATTGTAAAGTAGGTAGGATTTTATTAATTATAGTCTTGAAATATTCTTTAACAGTGTATTCCATTATTCGTGGAAGCAGCTTTAGAGAGACTGACAAGAGAGGTTAAAACAAGTGAACTGCGAACAATGTGCCTGCAAGTTGCTATTGCAGCATTGTATTATAATCCACATCTACTACTCAACACCTTAGAAAATCTTCGCTTCCCTAATAATGTTGAACCAGTTACAAATCATTTCATCACACAATGGCTTAATGATGTTGACTGTTTCCTGGGGTAAGTGACAATAAATTGGACCTTTATTAGGCATTCTGCTTACTTAACACAGTAGAGTAAAAATGCATTTACTCTTTTCTTTTTTAGGCTTCATGACAGAAAGATGTGTGTTCTGGGCCTTTGTGCTCTTATTGATATGGAACAAATACCACAAGTTTTAAATCAGGTTTCAGGACAGATTTTGCCAGCATTTATCCTTTTATTTAATGGATTAAAAAGAGCATATGCCTGCCATGCAGAACATGAGAATGACAGTGATGATGATGATGAAGCTGAAGATGATGATGAAACTGGTAAGGGATATGTGCTGGAGAGGCCCAGGCCCTGTCTGTTTAGAAACATCATGGACTTCTTTCTAGCCCTTGTCTCAAAGAAACCCTGGATCATAGCCAAAACCTTTGATCCACTCAGACACTGTGTTGAATGTCACAGTCTGTAAAGGCAGGAGTTTTGCCAGACTGGGTGATTCTTGCTTATAATTCTAGCACTTGGGAAGTAGTGGCAGAATAATCAGGGTCAAAAGTTCCAGTTCATCAAGGCCATCCAGCACTACATGAGACAACTTCTCAGAAACAAAGTCAGGCATTTTGATAGCTCCAGTCAGGAATGATTTGCTCGTTCTGCATATGCTTGTCACTGCAGAAACAAAGATAAATAAGAGCCAGGTATTGTGGCCAATCCTACCATCCCAGAACTGGATATGCTGAAGCAGACAGATCTCACGTTCAAGGCCTGACTAGTGAGACTTTGTTTCAAAAAAAAAGTTACACTTGAAAGGTTTTTTTGTTTGTTTGTTTGTTTTTTCTTAGTGGCAGAAAGATATTATTTAGGCAAATAATACAAAATTGATAGTGTCAGATTTACTTAGGAGAGAGAGCTCCTTTAAGAGGTGAGGAGGATATGATACAGCTCAGTTGGTAGAGGTCTTGCCTGGCATGCATAAAGCCTGGTTTCCTTCCCCAGCGCAACATAAACTGTCTATAGAGGCTGGAAAACCAGAAGTTCAAAGTCACTGATGTGGTAGTTTGAGGCCATCCTGTAATACATGAAACCTATATCAAAAACTCAACCATCTAGTGGTGCCAAAACTTAAGTTGGTGCTATACCATTAGATAATTAGGGGCTAGAGAGATGGCTTAGTCAGTGGTTAAGAAAACCCACATGTCAGCAAACCATCCTTAGCTTCAGTTTTGGGATTTCCAATGCCCCTTCTGGCCTCCTCAGGCATTGCACAACATGAGTGTACTTACATACTTGTAGGCAAAATATAAACTAAAAAATAAATAAGGCCCAGTAAGATGACACATGCCTTAAGTAAAAATTTATAAAATTAAATAGATATCGCCAGTAAACTTAACCTGTAGTGAACTATAGACATACTAGTAAAAACTGATTAGATGTAAACTATTCTGATGGTTTAAAAAATAAGATAGGTATTTCCATTTTTGTCTTTTATCATTTACTAATGTAGCCAGCTTTAGGGGTGGAAATCTCAGCAAAGGTTCTAAGAACTGCAGTATTGATGCCGCTAATCTCAGTGCCCCTACTTACTGACCATAAATAATAATGGCTTTTACCAGCTAAGAACTTAGGATAGTAGGAATCCTTCTCTTTCCTAAGAACTTGAGATGACTTATGACCAGTTCTCAAAAGGCAAAACAAACCTCAGGTTCCCTAAAAAAATAGAAAGGTTGCTGGATGGAGGAAAGCTGTGCAGAAACACGAAGGAGCTGCCAGTTTACTCTTCTGTTCAGTTGCCTGGAGCTTTCTGGGGTGGTTGGACAAGTAGGTGCCTACAGTTACTTCTGTGGAATAAATTAGTTCTGGAAGTTTACTGGTGACTCACTAGTCTCTTTTGCCTTTATCCTTAGTTTTTTTATTTTTATGTACGAGTGGTTTGCTTGCATGTCTGTTAGTGCACCTGTTTTGGGTAATGCCTGCAGAGACCAGAAGACAACATTGGATCCCCTGGAACTAGAGTTGTGATGGATGTTTGCTACCCTTTGGATGTTGGGAACTGAACCCTTGGTCCTGTGAGAGCAGTCAGTGCTCTTAACCACTGAGCAGTCTCTCAACCTCTTCCCCCTTAAAAAAATGAAATTTTATTTTACATTGTTTTGAGATAGGGAATCTGGCTATGTTGATTTTTCCTGCCTCTCTTTTCCAGTGCTAGGATTACTTACTTGCTGGAGCTACCATGTCTGGCAGTACTCTTAACACATTGGGTGACAACAGAATGCAGTTCAATATTTGTATTAGATATGGGCAGTAATATGTATCAGTCTCCTCAAGCAGATGAATATGTCTGTAATTCCCCCACCCCCATTCATATTTTGGAATCATAGGAAAACCTAGATGTGTTAACACACACCTGAAATTCCAGCAGTTAGCCTACTGAGGCCTGAGGAGCATGAGTCTGGTTAGGCTGGGCTTGCAGTTGGGTTCATGGACATCTGTGAGAATTTTTATTTCTTTTATAACTGGATGTATAATTAAAAACTGGTTTCCCAGAACTATTTCTTTGGGCTCTAATTTACTAAGGAAGTAATTGTTACTTTGAACAGAGTAGCAGAATATTTCAGTGTTATAAATATTTCATTACTTGTTAGAGGAACTTGGGAGTGATGAAGATGATATCGATGAAGATGGCCAAGAATATTTGGAGATTCTGGCTAAGCAAGCAGGTGAAGATGGAGAGGATGAAGACTGGGAAGAAGATGATGCTGAGGAGACTGCTTTGGAAGGCTATTCCACAATCATTGATGATGAAGACAACCCTGTTGATGAGTATCAGATATTTAAAGCTATATTTCAAAGTAAGTCAGTCTTTTATATGTAGAACCATTTCATCTGTCCTTAGTTGTGTATTCCCTTTAAAGGTGAAGCAAAGCATTTGTTTTCCCCTTGAGTTTTGGGGTATTTTTTATTTTATTACTTATATTTAATCTGTAATTTTGTAAGATTTACATTAAGACAATAGTGTAGTTCAAAAGTTACAGAGACAGTTCTTTTGAGTTTCCATCTTTCAGTTTTCAGAAGCAACTAGCTTTAGATTCCTTTTTGTTAATATTTGTGCTTCCTTTACAGTCCTGTTTTTTAGTTGAGTCTTTCTCAAATGTAGTTCAGGCTGGCCTGAACCTGTGCTCCTCCTGCCTCAAGCTCCAAATACCTACCTGATATCTGATGCGTGAAATCAGTTTAGAGGTTTGGCTTGTTTCTTTTTTTTTCTCTTAAGTTTTTATTTTTATGTGTATAAATGCATCACTTGCACTTGTGTAAGTGTGTTATGCAATGTCCGCAGAGGTGAGAAGAGGGTGTTGGATTCCCTGAAACTGTTACAGTTATTAACTGCCATGTGGGTGCTGGGAATCTAACCCGCGTCCTGCAAGAGCAGTCAGTGCTCTTAACCGCTGAGCCATCTCTCCAGCCCAATTTTTTTTTAAAGATAAGGTTAGCCTCTAATGTCTCAGCAGGTTATTGTGCTTGGAGATTCTGTTGTTTTCTGTTGAGGCATGGTTGCTGGTAGGTCAGGCTCATCTCTAACTTGCTGTGTTGCCAATAATGGCTGTGAACTTCTGATCCACCTGCTTCCACTTCCTAACCTCCCAAGTGCTGGGATTGCAAGCTCGTAATATACTTGGGTTTATGCAGTGCAGGAGATCAAACCCAGGGCTTGAAACTCCTTTCTAAGATTGGGCTACAGCCGGGTATGGTGGTGCACGCGTTTAATCCCAGTACTCAGAAGGCAGAGGCAAGTGGATCTCTGAGTTCAAGGCCAGCCTGGTCTACATAGTGAGTTCCAGGACAGCTGGGGCTACAGGGAGACCCTGTCTCAAAAAAACCAAAAATCAAGCCACAATATTGGTCCATATATCAGCTTGTTTTTAATATCACCTGGTTTTGTGAAATTTTAGGGACATGTTATTTATTTATTTATTTTTTATGTGTATACGTGTATTGCCTGAATGTAGGTAAGTGCACCCGTGTTGTGCAGTGCTCACGGAGGACGGAAGAGGCTCTCGGATCCCCTGGCACTGGAGTAACAGGCAGTTGTTAGCTGCCATGTGGATGCTGGGACTTGAACCCAGGTCTTCTGGAAGAACAATCAGTGTTCTTTACTGCTGAGCCATCTCTCCAGCCCAACATGTTATTTTTTTATAGATTAAGATCGATCATTGTTTAGCCTATAAAATAAGTTTATGGTCATTTATTTTGTGTACCCAGTGCCATGCACATACACAGTTATGGTCATTGGAATTTCACTGTTAGTACTGCAGTTACCTTTCCACACACGCTCAGTTTTGTGATTGGTTTTTGTGATGTTGGGGGTTAGATCCAGGCCTTTACCCATGCATGCTAGGTAAGTATGTCTTAGAACTAAGCTACATTTGTATCCCCAGATTTATTAAATGTTTCTAAATAAGGAAGCAAGAGAAATAAGGCATTTGTTTTATCCATTTCCATTGTACCTACTTAATACTTCTATTCCTTTAAGAGACATGATTATCAGAGCTATTTGAAACAGAAAAACTAGAATTGATTTTTATTATCATCCTTTCATTTCACAGATACCAGAATTTCAGTACTGTGTGGGTGCAATAGGGAACAGAATAAGGACCTACCGGGCCTCCCTGTCCCCAACTCCTTACTACCTTGCTTGAATTGGATCCCAGACATTGTGCATGCTCAGCAAAACATTACTACCAAGCCAAATCCTTGTCCCAAGCTCTTATTAATGACTCCTACTCCTTGTTCTTTCTGTACAGCTATTCAAAATCGTAATCCTGTATGGTATCAGGCTTTGACTCATGGTCTTAATGAAGAACAAAGAAAACAGTTACAAGACATAGCAACTCTGGCTGATCAAAGAAGAGCAGCCCATGGTATGTTAGTGAACTGTGGATTTAGCATTCTATAAGGGTATATAGGCTGGAGGTATACATGCTAAATAGTCAAATCTTACCATTTTTCTCACAAGCATATTAAAGATATTTCATCCATGAGCATTTCAGTATGCATATTTAAGTATATTTATGCTATAGACAGTTTCTGTAAGTTTTAACTATCCAACCATTTGAATAGCCATAGTCGAGAAGAATCTTCTGTATAAATCAAGCCTAGCATTCTGAAATATTTTTTAAACTGGGTTTTCTTACATTTATTACATATCTTTTTTCTTCTTTTTGAGATGGGTCCTTACTGATTTGTTTGACTCAGAATGAAGAATTTAAAGGCCTTAATAATGGGAACTAAAAATGGGCTAAGAAGTCTAAACATGTCCCTTGCCCTAAATACATGAAGGGGAGAACAGAGATCAACTTTGGAACTTCTTGTTAATTGGTTAAGCTCATAGTTTGGTAACGTTGCCTTCTTGTCCCCCAAACAATAAGATGATCAAGTGTCTGTAGTTTCACTTCTTTCTTTTCCAGAATCCAAAATGATTGAGAAGCATGGAGGATATAAATTCAGTGCTCCAGTTGTGCCAAGTTCTTTCAATTTTGGAGGTCCGGCACCAGGGATGAATTGAGTTACTTTCTTTCCTGCTGTGTGATTGTAGTGAAGAGCTTGTGTTCCTCCTAGTAGTGGTTCCAGAACTGGTTCATGTTATCTACTCTACTAATTGATCAATAGATGAACAAAAAACCCCAGGAGTGGGACCTGATCATGCAACCTGGCACTGGACGAGAAACTAGAGGGATTGGGGGAGGGGTTAACTTGGGGGGCTATTTTCTTTATTTTTTGAAGAAAGTAAGATCCTGACTCTGAAACTTCAAGTGACACTGTGGAAATCTGAAACGAGGGGATGTCATGAAGGCAGCTTTTCTTTTTCTAAGGAAAAAAACAGGCATGGGCTACAGGACTATTTAAAATGTCTCATTTACAGTATAAAGTTCAAAGATAGATGTAATTTTTACACCTATGGGTATTTGTCGGATTTCTGTCTCTTCCTTACCATTGGGTATCCTCTATGTGTAAATAAGATAAGGTAATCAGATAACCTTACTCAGTCTTCATTTTCATTCATCAGATTGTTCCTATGTAGATTGGACATTTATTGTAGCACTACATAACTGATTTAAAAATCTGTAAATGAATTAGCACTTTCATATTGAAACAAGCCTGCTAGCCTATGTATAAAAGCAAAACTGTTTGCTGTTTATAAAAAGGGATATAAAGGGTGGGGGGCAGGGGTAATTTCAGGTTAATTATTAATTTAAAAATGAACTAGCAGTTTTGTACCTGGTAACTTTGTGGTGCACTCACCTCTGGTAGTGACTTGAATTCGGTATGTAAAAAGGGGTTAGTGAGAATTCATTGCTGCTAAAAATGGCAACTCCCTCTCCCTCTGTGTCTTTTGTTTCTTTCCCTTAAAGCTCTCAGTGTACAAGTGGACATTTGGATACAAGACCTTATGTAACAAAGGTGATATCTGAAGCATGTGAATTGGAGATAAAAATCTACTCTTAAAGAGTTGATCTAGAGTATGGCTAAACATCTATATATGCAATCTATTAAAAGAACTTAATTCGGCAATTATGTCTTGATGTGATTGCAGTTTTGTTCCTAATTCTAATCCCCATTCCCCTTGACCTATTGTCCTGTACCTAGAAACGAGTGTAAAATGCACTTAGGATTTAACATGAAATACCCGCCCACTCCTCTTTCCTCTTCTCTACCCCTCTTATGGTTGTGGTATCCGATTGTAACTGCTTAGGCTGAAGGCACATGGTTCGCTCTCAAAAACCACTATTGATACCACTGCAAAAAAAAAAAAAAAAAAAAAGCAGAGGACTTTATTCTCATGGTTGGCTATACAGCAACTCCATGCACCATGGTACATGGTTCTCTTCCC